ACTTGTATCTGTCTCAGGAATACTATTTCTACCAACTCTGTCAAAAGTCCTTGTCCTCATATGTTTTTATTAACAAGTTGAAGCCTTCCTAGACTGGTGACTATGTGTTCCCTCTTACTATACTTCCCTTGCCTCTTTATTAATCCTTCCCTACCCTTTAATGAGTTAAAGCCTTCTTAAACTTGTAACTGTGTGTTCCTTATTGTCTGTCCTTACCCTTTTGTATTTTACCTCCCCCCCCCTTTACTATATCCTTTCCTTTGTCTCTCCATTAATCACTTCCCTACCCCCCCCCCTTTTATTTCTTCAGAGTAGGGAAGAGTGTAACCTCTGAGGTTACACACATGACTTTAGTTAAGTATATAAAGGGCTATTTGTAGACACTTAGAGATTATCTTTGTACTTACTCCTGTACTTAGGTTGACCTCTCTAATCCTAGGTCTTTGCCTGTTCTGTGTTCTTAAGTAAGGCTCCAGCCTTTACAGAGGTATGTTATAATCACTTATATATCTTAACAATATGTACAATTATAATTAATATTAGTAATTTTAATAATTGTTCTAGATTCTTATTATACTTGTATTAAATTATAATTAACTTGTGAAAACCCTTATGAAGAATATAATTACTTTAACAAAATTTACAAAAAGTATAAAATATACCTGGTTATAATCTAATACAAGTGTTGCAACTTTTTCATAATGGCTGACTAGAACACTAACTCTAGGCTAGTACAATACTAGTCTGATTTAATACTGTAACTCTGTCCAGAGTTCAAGCAACTCAGTTGTCTTGACCCTCCTCAGTCTCTTAGGGTTATTGTTTAGAGTGTTAATGTCCCTATTAGCTTGACCTGTAATCCTATCTCTGTCATCAGTATTAGCAGTAATAGCTAGTATGTTGACTTCAGTTGTAAGATAATTCTTTGTACTCAAGCTAACACATTTGGTTGTTCTCCTAGCTCTACACAGCCTGTTTGCTACCAGAATAATAACTTTAGTAGGTCTTCTCCTCTCAATTCTTCCCTAGTAGAAATTTACTTGACTGAATCTGCATTAATTTCAATTTACAGATAGTGTTGTTACTCTTAGATGTACTCTAGTCAATACTAACCTTTGAAGGGTATAACTTCTCACCTAGTCAGAAGAAGTATGAAGTCTGTAGTAATGAGGATAGATGAATCTTAGTAGTTAATAAAGTAATTCTGTAATAGGTGTTTGACTGTCTGTCCACTTACATGTTTGTTTGCTATAACTGTTAATGTTAATGTGTAATAGCTTGTGATTAAGTTAGCTGAATGATAATTGTGATTGGCTGTTTCAGAAAGATTAGTAGGCCTTCATTAATAGAATATGTCAAGATTACTTATTATATTCTACAGTTTGTTGTTACAAGTGTTGTCACTGTTCTCATTGTATTATGAGGCACAATTGGTATTTGGACAGAACAGTTCAGGTTTCATAATGTTTGAGAGTTTTGGTAAGTATACTCTCTTATAATGATTTTAGGCAAGGTACATATTATTAATCATTTTAGAGCATACAATGTTGTCTTCAGCCTCTTCCAAGCACCCTATTATGCTAGTGCTCTGTACTATAGCATAATTTACAGATATGCTTACAGTATATACACTTATACACTGTATTGTAAGAGAAAATTTTAGCTGAAAATACAGACATATATTTATGCACATATGTATATACCATAAGTAAAAAATTTCTGTATATACTGTATACAAGTATACAGTATTACTAAGCATATTCTCTAATTAAATACTAAGTTTGAGTTTCTAAACCTTATTTACTTTACTTATTTATATACC